GATTTAATATTATTGTTTTCTATCGCCTGCCAAGTACTAGTGGTAGGTACTGGAATCCCAGCTCTAAGCAAGACAAGATGTCTCTCCCAATGGAGTTAGTTCCATCAGACAATACACAAGTGTTTTATTTTATTTATTTATTTATTTATTTATTTATTTATTTATTTATTTATTTATTTATTTATTTTTGGTACCGGGGATCGACCTCGGGTCCTTGTGCTTGCAAGGCAGGCAGAGGAACCACTGAGCTAAATCCCCGGCCCTACAAGTGTTTTAAAGAAGAAAGAGAGATCAGGCAGGAGGAGTTATGGGAGGAACAGGGCTCAATGGGACTGGATGGTGTAGAGGCACTGGGGAGCAGGTCAGACCCCTGCCTCCGGGAAGGACCAGCCAGTCACTGCTGCTAGGGCAGCCTGAATTTTCAAGACCTTTCCAGGAGCTATGGGAGGTTTTCAGGGGAAAAATCCACCCAGAAGGTAGGGCAGGCAGGTTTGCAGGAGCAGACAGGAGCTCTGCCTGGGGCCTGAGCAATGTGAGATAACAGGGCCAACAGACAAATAACTATGAAAAAAAGGCAAGCAGATATTTTTAAAATGTCATTATTAGGCTTCTGTTTGTTTCAAAATTATTTTTCTTTATTTTTCATGTGGCAAGTCCCATTCATGGCCCAATATATTCAAAGTTGTAGAAGGGTTCTTGGCTATAATTCTCTCAAATGACATTATTGCAGAAAGCTCTCCTGGACTATAATTGTATAAGGGACTTTTTTAAGTTTCCAAACTGTCTACCTGAACCTGTCTGCATCTTCCCCAGCTCATGAGACACATCGTGTCTCAGTAGAATCTCAACACAGTGCAACACTGACCGCAAAGTGCTTATCCACCTACCTGTCACACTCTGTGAGCTCCTCAAGCTTTCCAGACATGGGGTTGTACTAGATGCTCTAAAGCAGGATGCTGCCGTGCAGCCCTGCAGGCCAAATCTGGCCCCTCCTTGTTTTACTAAATGAAGTTTTATTGAGACACAGCCATGCCCATCCTTTAGGTGCTACATGAGGCTGCATTCACATGAAAAGGCACAGTCAAGTAGTTGTAACACAGACCTTACTGCTTACAAAGCCTAAAATATGGCCTTTAAGAAAAATGGTACTTGACCTCTTCCCTAAAATTCCCTCTAATTCTGAAGCCAAATAAATTTATGATTTGAGGGGAAAAAAGTGAATCAGAAATGAGCTAAGATCGATACTTGCTTACTCTCTGAAGCTAAGATCTGTATCCATTTACCATGTAAAAGCAGATCTGATATTTGATATTGAATTTTGGTGATTTTTTTCTTTTCTTTCTTTTAAAGCTGAGAATCAGACTTCAGTCAAAATGACAGAAATATCAGGTAAGTTGATATTTTCTTCTCTGAGTACAATCATGGCTCAAATCGCCACAATGAGTCAAAGCAAGGCCACACAGTTTAAGAGCAGGGAGAAATGCTATGGGAATGGATCACAGAAGAGAAACTAAGCCGTTTAGGAGGCCTCGAGTTCAAAGACAGTACTGACTAAGAACCCACACAGGACGGCCTGGAAGCTCGGACTGAGGCCTGTAGCTCCTGGCTGCTCTGCGGCCAGAGTCCCTTTTCAGAGGACACACCACCTGTCTCCTCCACACTTGAGATAGTGTCCAGACTGGGCCTCCTAGGAGGCGCTGGTGGAAGCCACAGCCAACAGTCCACAGTGGCAGCTCAGCTCTTGCCACCCCTCAGTTTTGGCCTGTGTAAACCGTAGACAATGGAGCAACAGGAATGAGGAAAGGTCTCTGGGCAGAGAAAGGTGTGCATTTTTCTACTGTTTTAAAACTGTAACTGTAGGGAGAGTTTTGACCTTCCTGCATCTTACCTGGCACTTGTACAAATGCCAAATGTCTCGGTTTCTCAATCCTGGTCCCTTTTAACATACATATAAAATAAAGATGTGAAATAAACTTTTAAAATCCGCAACTAAAAAAAAGTATAAAAATACATGAGTGACTCTAAGACCATGTTCACACCACATGTCCCGGACAGTTTCAATCTGCCAGCTGCCTCCCTTGTTTAAGGCATTTCAAGCAGATTATTATGCTTTTAACTTTTAATTATCTCCTGCTATACAATAAAACACACTTACACTAGATTTATTTTGCATTATTAACTTTCTTTCATCCCTTCATCATTTTTAAATTATTTCCATCTTCAATTCTGGAAATGTGCATGCACTAAGATACATAAAACCCTCAGTTCAGGCAAGGATAAGGAGGGCTTTGAGGGTCCCCTGCTTCACAGATGTGCAATGGAAAATAAATTGGGGTACAGTAGTATCGGGGAGCCCCTAGCTGTGAACTGCTGCTAAGGATGGGCTGAAACACCCTTTATTCTGCTCAAGAGTTACATTTACAAAACCCAGTTACAACCAAAGATCTTGTTGAATAGGATAAATAACACAGGCTGTTTGACTTTTTTGAGTTGCATGAACTACTTCTAAAACAGATAAGAGGCAAATCATTGTTTGAATAACAGATGAGGAGGGGAGACAGCTGTAAATGGAAAGAGAAGCCTTTCTCATTTCTTTACTCTCCACAAACTTCAGAGGCTAAACACAAAATCCATATCCTTGTCTCCTCAAAGATGAATCAACAAATTTATTAACATGCTAATACCTTATCATTTAGTTGAAACTTCTAATTATTAATCATGTCATCAGACATATTAGGATATAACATTTATAAAATCTTTATTCATAAGATCAAAAATAGACATATTACTAAAAATAATTAGTTCTTGTCTTTTAGGTAAAAGTTGGTATAGGATTCTAGCCCATAGAATTGCTACTACTGCTTATCTTCTATAAATGTGCAATTGCTAAGTGTAGTCTTTGAATGTATTATACACAGTTCTCCCACTTGATATTTTCTTTCATAATTTGTATCTAGCTTTAATTTCCTTTAAAATTGCATTTTATCACCTACTTCAACAATGACTCTGTCTCTAATTTGACAACTGTAATTGATGATTATTATTTGCTGAGGGATGAATAAGGCAGTTCTCTATAAATGTGAATGAGAAGCAACTATACTTAGATAATGATGCTTAGCGTTGTAAAACGAAGATAAGCAACAGACAGGTGTGGTGATGGGGAAACGACAGATCAAGGCCGGAAGACCCCTCCATTCGCGGGAGCCGGTGGAAGGCGGCCGAGAGCTCTGCCTAACGCTTCATGTGAGAGTCGCGCTCAGTTCCTAAAGCCTGTGGGAAGGGTCAGCGCTCAGCGGCCCACCGTGAGCGATCTCGTGAGGCTTCCGCATTAGTACGAAGCCTGCTAACCACGATGGAGTAGTACATTCAGGCAGCTACTGCTCACTGCGGCATTCACCAGGACCTCACGCTGCTTGCATTAACGCTCGGTCCTGTAACGCCCAGTTATGAGAGAGGCACGAAGCCACCCCTGTGAGTGACTCAGGGGGCCAAGTGTCATAAGCGACTACGATAACCCCAGTAGCAGGTGGGTAGTAGCACGTCACAAGCAAGGGTATGTAGGTTCCAAGGAGGGAAAATTTTATTATTTTTTTATTTTGCTTTGCAGTTTAAGACAGTTTAAGAAGAATACCGAAAAGGCTCACTGAACAAGTGACCCTCTAGCTGCCAGACTATTCTACCTACTCAGTTTTTAACTGAGTCCAGAGCTAATAGGACGACAGAAGGACCCACGGGGCAGCACCCTGGGCTATTCCCTCCCAGGAAATGAAGGCAGACATTGCTCACCCATTGTGACACCTTTAAACAGTGTTGGAACTCACTTTGTAGCCTTATTGTTTTCCCATAGAAAATCAGGGTTAACGACTTGTCCTTTAAAATGAACATTTTCATTGACAGGAGAGCTCAGCCCTAAAATGTCTGAATATACCTCAGGTATTGGGAAAGGAATAAACTATTAGACTTTGATTCCCTGGGAAATAGAAGTATGTCTACTAGGCTTCTCCCGATAAATAAAACCACTGAGCTGTGTGCATAGAAGAGGACTTGGTGAAAGTGTTATGGATGTGTCTAGATATTCCCCACCAAGCCTCATGCAGTCATAGGTGGGGCATTTCCAGAGGGGGCCGGATCTAGAGTGTGTGATGCTGGGATTAGGGGTGTGTGATTGGTTTGGCACCCACCCTAAGCCCAGTAGACTAGATAAAATATAAAAGGGGCAGGAAGAAGATGCTACTGTGGCTTAGTTTGGTGCTTTCTGCCTCCTACCTTCTGCCTACCATGAATTGTTTCTCCTCTTTAATGCCACTCTGCCTTGGAGCCAGCCAATGATAGACTGAAACTTCTAGAAACTGTGAGCTAAATAAACCCCTTCCTCCCTTGACAACACCCTTGTGGGCATTTTGTCTCAGCAAAAAGAAAAGTAACCAGGACAGTAGGGAACTGGCTCGTGTGATTTGGAGGCTGAGGGATCCCCCCTGCAAGGTCAGGCTGGACCCCAGGGTGCTGCCGGTGCTGCCCAGCCTGAGCCAGAGGCCCCTGATCCAGGAGCATCCTGGGCTGCTGTCTCAGTAGGAATCTGGAGGCAGGGAAGAATCGATGCCCACTCAGGGCAGGAGCAGCTCCCTCTTCCCTCTTCTCCAGCCTTCACCTGGGTGGATGACGCCCCACATCAGGGACAGAGCTCTGCTTTGCTTCGTCTCCATCCAAATGCCATCCTCAGTCCACAGCACCACAGAGACACACTCAGAGTAGTGCCCAGCCACATATCTGGGCACCGTGGGTCCCCGCAGTGACACATACAACAGCCGTCCTAGCACATCGCCATGGAGAGCAGCACAGTTTGTGAAGGATGTCATCAGAGCTGCAATCACACTGCAGACATTAAACTGACAGAAAGAGCAGCAAGAACAGGCATCACAGCCCCACAGTCAGAGCAGTTTGATGAGCTTCGCATTCTATTTCCGGATGTTGGCTGTTGATCATGAGGAGCTCGTACAAAGTGAAGCATGGATCGTTCTGTGCCAGAGTTGCTGGTCTGAGTTTTCTGACTTTGAGTGGCAGCAGCCCAACACTGGTGCTGGTTAGGATCCACACAAGCTGCAAATAGGCCTGCAGCAGAGAATAAAAGAACTCACTCATGGAACGAAAGACATGCCAGGGTGCTTGGAATTTGCATGGACTCTGGGTGTGGCTAAGTGGTTTTCTTGCCTGGTTCTTACAATTGATGGGTGTCGAATACTCTTCTGCGCTGTTCTTGTGCCACTGTAGTCTACAGTGCAAAACCTAAAAACTCCCTTTAGGAGCTGAAATATTTCAGTGACATTGCTAAGGGAATACCCTCCTCTAATGAGCTCCAGTGTGCTTTAATCAGAAGCCACCAGGGTTTGGGGCACCGGGGTCCCATGACCCAACTCCTGCCTCCTACGTGTAACTCAGATCATGGAGGAGGATGTGTCCACTGAAGCACAAGCATCTTTTGCAAATTATCCAAGAATGAAATGATGGCAGCTTGGGCAAGGGAGAGGGCAGGCTGGGTGGCATGAAATGTCCACATCTTGAATGCATTTTGGGGTGGAGCCATTGGGTGCTCCTGATGATTGCAGGTAAGAAAGGACAGAAAGAGACAAATGCAAATCCAGCTTTGGCCTGAGCCTTATCAAGGAATTAATTGTTGCCCTCAAGAGGAATGGGGGCAGGCTGCAGATAAAGAAGTTCTAGCTGCATTTACAGGGTTTGTTATTGCTCAGGTGGCATTACTGATTTTTGAATCTGAAGTTGAAGAAAGAGGTGTGGGCTGGAAGTACAAAGTGGAAGATCCTGAGCAGTGGTGCTGTTTGTATCCTGAGGATGAGTGAGATCAGCAAGTGCATCGATGGGTGTAGAGTCGGAGCTGAGGAGTGGGGCTGAGCGCTGGGTCACTTCAAGGATGTAATTCGGGTAGACATCAAGGAATCAACCAAGGAGCAGAAGGAGTAGGCTGCAGGAAACCCAATAGAGCGTGCTTTTTGAAAAGCTGCATGACATGTATTTGAAAAGAAGTACAGGCAACATAAGGGAAATAAAGTAAGACAGACTTGTATTCCTGCACATCTCCTCCACTTATCACCCACTGATAACTGTGTATCTCATACCCCCCCTTAATTCCTTCTTTCTAATTTGAGAACTCTAATTATCTGATAGGACTAACTGATAACTCAGCCAGGCTTATGGGTTTATATGTTAGGGCTGGGTTAAAATGAAATCCTTTTAAGAGTTCCAATTTCATTTTCTAAAAATAATTAGAATATATATTGGACATATCCTGATGGATCAAACACATATGGATCATCAGACCACAGCATGAACCCCTCTATCATAGTCACAGATTGAATAACTTTAGGCTCACTATTTGTGAAATAAGCCAAGCACTATAGCTTCAACAATAAAATCATGTAAAAGGCCACAGCTTCTCAAACTGTGGGTAACTAATAGGAGGCATGACCAGTATTTTTTAAAATGAAAGAAAATGAACAGGCAATAGCAGATGATATTACACATAATCAAGGTACATGTGTGTGTGTGTTCAATTCAGAAGTGATTTATTAACCTAGGGCTGCAAATAAAATGAATAGTGTTTTGGAATGGCGGAGTAGAGAACTTTCATACATTATTGGTTTAGAGAAAGTGCCACCAATTTATGGTATAGTCTCAATCTAGTGGTAAGACTTCATGCCACACTGGAATGAGACTGCAGACATGGAAATTTCAAGGGCTTTTTATGGGCGTGGGAAAGTGTGCCCATATTTGAAGTCATACTATGCAGGTGGCCAATGACTACCAGTGAACCGACAGGAAAACTCACGCATTTGGTGCCAGTGGGATAAGCACTAGGACAGAGTCTGGAGGGGATGCATGTGTTAGTGACCCAAGAGATACAAACCCTTATTCCAGTTAACCAAAAGAAATAAACGATAAATATTCCAATTATTTGGTTGCAAACAATAAAATTTGGCTATGGCTAATGAAATCAAAGTTTTTTTTATTAAAATGCTACTTAGAGATTAAAGAAATACACAAACCAGGGAATTTCAGGGAGCTCCTTCGCATAGTTAGTCTGCTTAGAGCTTCACTCTGGGAATAGCTCAGAACTTTTCATGCACTGTTAGGAGAGGACTTGGGTCACACAGTGCCTGAATAAGGAGGATCTGCTCGCGTGACAACACAGGTTTCCCCATAGGAAGGGTGGAATTCTCCACAGCAGGGGAAAAGAAAAGATGTCTGAAGACAAACAGTGGCAATATCTTCTGGTGAAAGCTCCCAAGGTTCTATCTCCGCCTGCCAGGGGACGTGATCTTCCCGGTGGGTACTAATGGAGGCTGCTTCAGTCAGAATCTTCAGAGGAGCAGAGTTGGAGATGCAGCTAAATCTTCAAGATGTTATCAGAGAAAATACCCAAGCGAGCGCGTGGTGAGGGGGACAGAAGAGGCGGGATCTGCCGGCAAAGTGACCCTAGCGGAATGAGTGGAGAGGAGAGAGGAAAGCGGGGTACGGCAGCTCCCCAGGTCTCTGTGCACTCTCAGAAGGCACAGGAAGAACATCAGGGAGTTCACACCCCTCTTCAAAAGATATCATGTCTCCTGACACAAACCCGCCAGGACATCTCTCCAGGTGCCCTTTTGGCCTGGAATGTCCTTGAAGCGTCCTTGAAGGCACAGCGCCAGCATGTAGCGGGATGGATTGCAGAGGGCACCTGGAACCTTGTCCCTTGCCCATCTGTGGTCAGAGCTCGGTGGGGCACATTCTTGAGTGACCACAGGTGCCCCCGGGACCCCAGCAAACACTCTAAGCCTTAATGTGTTCAATGATTTATCAACTCCCTGGTGCACAGCCAGGGCCAGTGACGTACACAATCAGAAACGGGGGATCAGTTTATACACACACACTTGGTCCTAACAGACTCTGCCTCAGACCCCTTTCTTGAAGTTGTGACCTGACATTTGTAAACTGGGCTTTAATGGCAGCGCAGTACACCCATGATTCAATAATCATCCTGTCCACCAAGGTCAGGTTCCCAGGGAAAGCCTAGTCATCTAAGATCACCACGTACTCCAGTCTCTGCATCTCCTGACTAGAAAAAGAAGCATCTGACAGCATGGAGGGGTCTGAGGAATCTATTCCATGTATTGTTACACTTAGAGTTTTTGAAAAAACAAATTAGAAAAGCTGACTTTGGGTGAAAGATTCAGCTTCCTTGGGGAATAATCATGTATGATATGTAATAATATATAACAGAATACAATATCTACATACAGTGTCAGTTATTCTTCTAGGTAGTTTAAATTTATTCTTAGTCAATATTTACAGCGATGTGATGTGGAACCGTTCTGATCCCAACTGTATACGTGGTGAACTGGGCACAAAGCAGCAATTTGCCTAAGCTTCTGTAGGAAGTGAGCTCCAGAGTCAGCTCTGAGCCCAAGCGCTCTGTCTTTAGCATCTTGCTAATTCGCACCTCACCTGCTCCTCCCCGGACAATGCCATTGTGCTGTAGGATGACAGCCTCGACCAAGCCCAAAGGAGCCACCCTTCCATCATAGAATGAATAATTCAGGCTCCCACTCCTTCGAGTAAGCCAAGCACCATAGTTTCTACAGTATAATCATGTAAAAAGGCACTGCTTCTCAAATTGTGGGTAACCAAAGGAAGAAGAAGAAGCCATGAACAGTATTTTTAAAATGAAAGAAAATGAACAGGCAACAGCAGGTAGTATTACACATAATCAAGGTAAATGTGTGTGCGTGTGCATGTGCGTGTTGAACTCAGAAATGATTTGTTAACTGAGGGCTGCAGTTAAAAGAAAAACAAAACAAAACATTGAAAGCCTCTGTTCCAGCAGTCAGTAAGTCATTGCACTGGAAAAGGTGGACTCTGGCGCCTGCCCATGGGTCATTCGTGGGACCTGCTGGCCAGGACAGTCTGCCTGTCCCACTGGGCAGCTTGGAGTCTCACCTGAGCCAGAGAGGTTGTGCTCAGAGCTGGGACTGCAGAGGAGAAAGTAATAAGTAGCAGATGGAATCCTGAAAATTGAGTCCGCTGGCCGCTAGTCAGCTAGTCCACCCTCTACTAGGGGAAACTGAGGGTGTACACACCTGCCCCAAAGAGCTTGACACTGGGAAAGATAACTACAAGTGCTGAGATTTCAGCTCATTCCCCCTCTTCCAGGTCATATTCCTTTCTCTACGAGCTTAGTGCACCAGCCTGACATTTCCCTTTGTTCTTATGGGCACATATCTAGCTTCCTCCCACAGAGCTCTCCCTTGGCGAGAATGGCACAGACTCTAAACAGTATTCTTCCCCCACACATGTCAGAAAAGCATGGGCTTGTGGAGGAGCATGTTGGGCTGTGGGTGGCGAGCAAGGCAAGAGCCTAGGCAGTTTTGGAAATAACAGTTGGGTTGGTGCAATTAAACTGGGCCTTGAAACTCCTGAGAGGCAGCGACGCTCGGCTCCGCTGAGCAGGCGGTGCTCCAGTCCTGCACACGGGCTGTGGCCGGGCTCTCAGTGAGGCCAACAGGTGTGATACAATTGAGCACTTCATACGACCCACAAAGAATTCACTCCTCCCAAAACTCCTAAACACAAACTACATCTTATTCCCAATTCGTAAGATGAGGTGCTGTCCGCTTGCAAAACACTGAACTACTTGCCCTTCCATTAAACTTACTGAGCTCTGTGGATTTTAAATAACAACCTCTATTCATAATTTCTACTCACGGTTTCTGTTTGAAAATAGCAATTATTAAATGAATAATATTGTTAGTAAAATTTTAATAACTTTTTCCTGGTGAAAAAAGAAGGAGTGTGTGCAATTGTGAAAATCAAGCCACACTGGAAACAGCTGCTGGGCTGCAGGGAAGAAAATAAAGGAGTTTTCTTGCATTTTCCCTCCATTCTAACAAAACCCTCAATGCCATCTTTGCTCTTTACCTATAGTCCTGTGCACTCGTGCCTATTCTAAGTATGTGTGGAGAAAATCACTGTCTCCCAAAGTTATAGCATGTGATATTTCAATGGATCTTTTGCATAAATTTGCATCTCACAGGAATCCTGTGCAGCACGTTATCCTGTCTCTAACCCAAGAAAGGCGACTCAGGTTTTCTCAGCCAGTTCTGAAAATGAAAAGCTGACATCTAGGTCATGTGTTTAACCATCTTTCCAGGAGGAATGGACGCACTTAGGGTTTGCTGCCACCATTTATGTACCCTACTTCTCAATAATGAATAGTTTTCTTAGATCTTCAGAAATGCAAACTGCCTGGATGTAAAAAAAAAAAAAATCCAACTTCAAGATGAATTGCAAAATCTGACCCTGGATTTGTGATTTTTCTACAGTTGGCACCCAACAACCAAGTCCATCACCTTCTGAAGTTAGTGTGTTGTCCTCAACACTAACAACCTCAGGGAACATCTCAGAGTTTCAAGGTATGATTGTGTGTCTAAGTGGAGGCTTGCACTACACAGTGTGTCTCATCTAAGACACCCTAGCTCCACTTTCAAAGCAGGCTTCTCTCAGAATAAAAGCTTCTACTGAAAGCATCAAACCTACGGGTCACAGACATCTCCTTCTGTTGGTGTAGAGGGAGGAGCATGGGGACTGGCTCATAATAACCAAAGGTATTTGTTTGTTTCTTTTTTTAAATACTAGGCGTTGAAGATGGAAAAAATACAAGCTCTTTATCAATCAGCCCTTCTTATTCCAGTGAGTAACAAGCTCATCCCATTCATGCGGTGCGTAGGGGAAGGTATTAGAGCAGAGATAGGGCACATGGCATTAAAGGTAAGGCCCAGAGAAGGCCTTATCTCAGGTCCACTGAGTCTGCAGCTCCTTTCTAATCCTATGTAACAGCTGCCTGCATGGAGAATTTCCTGTGCATCTGATTTTTAACTTTTTTCTCTCGCATCTGTGCAAAACAGTTACCACCAAGGGCCAGGGATGATTAACAGCACTGGTTTCAGAAAAGCCAAAGTGTGCAGGGCAAAGCCCTTCCACAAATGAACTGCGCCAAACCACCGTGCTGCACACTTTGAACAGATCCCATCTTTATTTGTCAGTTAAATCCCTTAAATAAATAAATTACACCCCAAAAATGGCACTTTTTACCTTGACAACTTTATCTTAACAATGGCCTTTAAGAAACATTCCATTTTAGCTGAAGCTGACATACATGCTTATGCTAAGATGAATATGGAACATTCAGTTTGCATAGCAATTGAGAATAAGATGAATATATATAAAGCTGGAGTCATAGAAGATTATCTTGGATTTGAGCAAAGCCATCTCATTAAGTAAGTTAACATGGGAGTTACTGGCCTGCTGGTTCAGGGTTCTCCTCCTGGAGGGAGTCACAACCTCAGCCAAGGCCTGCTGTCAAATCAGCACATGCACTTAAGACAAACTCTAACCCTGACCTTGGAGGTGCAGCCCACCTGCAGTGCCTGGAGAACCTGTCTCATCCTTGGTGAGCATAGAAGCAGATGTACAAGCAGAGGGGACAAAAACCAAACATAGCCCGCCCTCCTGTCCCTCTGCCCTGTGCCTGTCACAGCCTTTCGGCTGTCTTCAGACACAGTCAAGCTGGGGAATGACTAGCAGAGAAGAAAGCAAATTTGTTTAAATCAATAAAAACCCTCCTTTTAGTAAAAACTGGAAAATAAACTCACCCTAAATTAACCACAGCAACACCACTTCCCCAAGCAGGTGCACGTATGCGCACACACACACACACACACACACACACACACACACACACCCTTCTCTTAAACTGTGTTGTTCAGTCTGCAGGAATTTTACCTGATTGCTTCATGATATGCCTTTTCTAGTTTTAAAGTAGCATTGTAGGGGAGAAATTTGGAGTTTTTGGAAAGCGAGCATTAGGACTAGAGCAGTTCCCAGTGGGAAGTGATTCTTTTCCAGTAGCTTCATGTGAAACCTTAAGGAGCACCAGGTGAAAGCTTGGCTTAACTGTCATCTGCTGGTGTCCTCACCTCTCCAGCCTCCCATCCCCTCCGCAGGCTCAGGAAGAAGGGAGTGATGGCTCCTAGGGTGGAAGTTGTTTCAGAAAGGCTGCAAGACTGACATCAAGTGGATGCCTCAGAAATGACACAAGAGCAAAACCCATGAGTCTGATCAACTTACTTTGCCTGAGATATAATAGAATCAGGTTGAAAGGGCCGGGATTTAGCTCACTGGTTTTGCCACCTCCCTCGTAAGTGCAAGGGCCCAAACTCGAACCCCGG